CTGCCTGGGGAGCTGGCCAAGCACGCTGTGTCCGAGGGCACCAAGGCTGTCACCAAGTACACCAGCTCTAAGTGATTCATTGGCTGTATAGTGATTTATCAGGCTCGTTCACACCCAAAGGCTCTTTTCAGAGCCACCCATGTTTTCCGAGAAAGAGCATGTCCACTATATGTTTAGTTTGCTTTGAGATGTGTAAGTATAACTAGATTGTTACTTCATAACTGCCTTGCTTTATGTGTATTTTTCCATTTTTGCTGTAGTTGCGTTGTGTTAAAGAGTTTTGTGTATTTAATGGAGCGTTAAAGCATAGAACACTGCCTTTTAGTCCCCTGAGATATTTAAAAGTACTTCCTTGCACTGCAAGTAACTAGAGCACCGCTGTAATTCATGGGGCTTTCATTTTGTTTTCTGTAGAGGTACAAGCTACTCCGCTATTTACTGCTGATAGGTTTGAATAAGGGATTAGAGCAGGATTCGCGAGATTGCTCCCCAGGCAGCAACAGGCCCATACCCTCACACGTCTCTAAAGCTTCATACTTGTAGTTGAAAGTTAAGGTAGCTTTAAGAGTGCTGAGACTTGGTGCTTCACAGAGAAATAGCCATCAAAATGATAAATGGTTGCCTCTGAGGAGTGGAATTTTTTAGTAAAACTCATCTGTCCTTGACTTACATCGCTGCCTTAATGCTTCTGCTACCGAAACAAACTTGGATCCGATCACTTCCACTTAGTAAAGTCAGTTCACTGGTACTGGGTTCTGGTGATGGAAATTAAAGCATTTATTTGCAGGGCTCAAGTAAATGGTGTGGGTGGCTCATGCTCAAAAGACCCTTTTATATTTAATAAACAATAAATGGAGGGACAGAGGGGCTTTTTACCCAGAAAGTCCCTGCGTGGTTCCTGCTAAGTTTGTTTCCTCCCACATTTTCACTTCCCCAGTTTGCTGCCCTTGGATGCCTAAAATTCCTTTCCTTTGTCCTGTCATTTCTCTGCAAATTTATTGTACCTCTCTGAAGACGCTAAATAAGCTGGAATTCTAAGCCTCCACTTTGAGTTACTTTTCATTTAGGTTTCTTCCTTATGATGTGCACGTGTAAAGACACTCTGGTTTTCTCCTGTTAATACGTATTTTTGTAAGAGTACCAGTTGAAAACACGTGACTAGAGGTAAAGTTTCTCCTCCCATACAACTGGTATTGTTTTCCAAGAATGTGGGAAGAGTAGTTAACTAAATGTATGGAAAAGCAAATCGGGGCAAGAAAAAAATGAATAAGATACTGGTAACAACATTGACACTAAACTTCATCTTTTCTGAAAATGATTTTAGATTTAGTATATGGAAAACAAAATTGCATTCTTTTAAAAATGTCCATTTTTATGCCCTAATAAGTGAAGTGCAATTATCGAAATTCAAAGGGTTTTTTTCTTTAACTTGAAACATGTTACAATGTTTAAAACATTTTAATGGAAATGCAATAGAAAGGACAATTGTTCCCAGTACAGACATTACATTAACTATGGTACTTTATCACTGAGAGATAAATCAATAAATCTTGCTGAGTGACCACTGATCAACCAAAGAAAACTGAATTACCTACCATAAAATTAATTCTGAATGTAACAAGTAAATTTTAAAAACAATATATAGAACAGAATAGGATTTTAGTAAGAGTTCCAAGTATAGTGTTAAAGGTGCCACCTCATCAGCGAATTAAATTATTTTAAAAACCTGGCTGATTAAGGAATTGCTAGTGAATTGTTTAAAACTGCACGGGGGTATTTCATAAGAATAATCACATTAAAAATAACTTATTTAAAAACTTAAGGGAAACATTTAAATATGATCAGTGTAAAGTGGTTATTAAAACGCCATATACAGCGTTGTCTTTGGGGGAAAAATGTGCTTTTATCTGGTCACCAAAGTACTAATTCCCTAGCAGTAATGACCTCTACGTGGTGGGATAACTGGTTGTTACTTTATTGTATGCTCTTCGGTATTTTCCACAACATTGTTTTGTCTTCGTATTCAAAAGCAATTGTTAAAGCCTTAAAAAATGGTAACAAAATAGTTACTACAACGTGAAATACAGTGCAGAAGAACCGAGGTCTTTTTTTTTCTTAATTTCCGCCTCTCCCTCCCTGGGGCGGGACTTCCCGCCTACTTTCTTCACGTTCTCAATTCGGTCCGCGAACTGATGTATAAAAGCCCGAGTCAGGGTCAGATACACACAAAGCAGCAGCAACTTAACTGTTTCGCAATGTCTGGTCGCGGTAAGGGTGGAAAAGGTCTTGGTAAAGGCGGTGCAAAGCGCCACCGAAAGGTTCTGCGGGATAATATCCAAGGAATCACAAAGCCTGCCATCCGGCGTTTGGCCCGGCGAGGTGGTGTCAAGCGCATCTCCGGCCTCATCTACGAGGAGACCCGCGGGGTGCTGAAGGTGTTCCTGGAGAATGTGATCCGGGACGCCGTCACATACACCGAGCACGCCAAGCGCAAGACTGTCACGGCGATGGACGTGGTTTACGCGCTCAAGCGCCAGGGCCGCACCCTCTACGGCTTCGGCGGCTGAGTTAGCTGTTTTGTCTCCGATTTCGAAACAAAAAGCCCTTTTCAGGGCTTCCTATTTTCTCATTTGAGGAGCTGTGATACTAGTTTCATGATTTAGAAATATTTTGATAAATCACTGCAGGCACTTTCTTTTTTTTTAACGTAGCCGCTTGTTCTCTGAGGTTGGTTTTTGCGTTTTCCAGGGTGCATGCGTACCTAAGCCGCCTAGTTACAGCAAGGGACTGCTCGGTCCATCCTTCACCTAAGAACATAATCGCACGTAATTGGTAAGCGGTCATTAGTTGCCGATTTTGCTAAAAGGTGGATAGTGGGAAAGATTATCTGCTTAATGAGTTACGTTTGTTGCATAAAGAGATCTTGCTATAAATATCTACGTGATTAAGTGGTTAGAACCAAGACATCCGGGACTTAGGACAATTGTTTGGCTTTACTTTCCAGCTGTACTGGGAAAACTTCCACTAGAAGGAAGCCATACCCTGAAACCTTAGCAAATATAAAACAGTACTGTAACTAAATGCCCTGAGAATTTGCAGGTATTCCTTAACACAGATTAGGCAGTTTCATCGCTTGTTCAGGACTCTCCCTTAGTATATTCACTACAGTCAGCCAGGAAAGATCTCAATTGATGGCTTCGGGAACGTTAGTTAAATAATTCATCTATTTATATTACAGCGTGACTGCTGTGCTTCAGACACTGCACTTGGCACTGGTGATATATGAAGGGGGGAAAAAGACTAATGCCCTTTTTACTGAGGAAAGACAAAATAATAAAAAGTCATTTTACTACATCCAATGGCCAATTATTAGTCTTCACTTTATTTGGGCTGTTGGAAACACTGACATAATTGACCCTACAATTTCTCTTTGATACTTTTGATGCTTCTGGAAAAACCACTTGATGACAACAAAGAATTTGGTTATTGTATTATATTAATCAACATCTTTGTAGAGAAGGATAGAATACTCTATTTAGGTATGATAATACAAATAGGATACTGACAAACCTCCAAGGGCCCCCTGATAGATGCCATCAAGTATTTGCTATTATAGCCACCAAATAAGGGCATTTATACCTAGGAACAAAATCTCTTGACAGTTTTGTCTTTAATATGCATATAAGTATGGTTTACCCAACTTAAAAAGTATAACTGTTAAACATTTATATCAATAACATCTGGTTCACTTAAGGATGTGGTTTCCTTTTTTGATCTGCCCTCTATTTTCAAATATTGCACAATATATAACAATTCTCATAATTGTATATGCTTAATTATATACATGAAAGAACAAACCTTATGTATAGCTGAGAGGCTACAACTGCAAAAGTAATTTAAATATAAATATATTAACACCTTAATAGTTTCATTATTCAAAATGGGATCTGGATTTAGAAAAGGTATCAAAAGAATCAGGCTATGAATGTAATAGATTTCTAAAGACAAATACTATTAAGTATAACATAGCATTTAAATTATGCACAGAATACCTAGGAATTTGTTGTTTTTAACTGAGACTTTTGTCAAAATTATTCAAGAAATCAGTAGAAAACGAGATAATTGACTTACAGTATACAAAATATAAATATTTTATTTCCCCAACTCAGAAAATGTTGGGGAAATATAATTAAAAGTAAAATCTCCCAGTTCAGAAAACTTCTCCACACAAAGGTAGTAGAAACAGAAAAGTTATTTTTGAATAAGTGTTAAACTAGAATATGAGTGCATCACAGGTAATCTGCTAAAGGGTTTGCAAAGCAAAGAGAGAAATCTCTTTTATACAGCTAAGTGTATACAAACCATTCAAGTATCATGTATGTAGGTTTGGCATTTTGGAATCAAGGGATAACTGAAGTTAGGCCCATCTCTCCCCAGGAAACAGAGGTAGTGTTATCTTGATTGTTTTTCAAAGACATGAGGCTAGGGTCCTCAAGGAAACATTCCTGAGTTGGGAGACTGGCTAGATGTATATTTAGCATTTCACCTTACAAAGGTTAACTATTGGTAAGGCAAGGAGTTCTTTTAAGCTTTCAACTTCAGCTATAAAGTATAAAACCACCTGGTCATTGTTTTCTCATTTTTTGTGCATGTGGGCAATTGCTTTTTAGTGTGTCTCTGCATCTGTCTTTCACCTTTTGAGTTTCTTTCTATAGCTTCTAAAATCTCTGGGAGGATACTTAGACCCTTGACTTTAGGTCTGGATTACCTAGTTTAATTCCTTTCCCATTATGTACCAAGGATCTCTAAATTAGTTCTCCTGGGTTTGAGAGCTGCCTTGTATTTTCTAATCATGAAGCACATTTCTATAACGTGACTTTGTTTTCCGTATAATTTAGTTGAAATACATTTTAAGCACATCCTATCCTTACCAACTGTTATGAGAAGTTAGTAAGTACTTTATCAGCCTTCTATACTATTGAGTATGAAAGCCTATGTAACAGCATGGATGTTTCTTGAGCAGAGGACACATGGAGCTAGAATAGTTGTCACTAAATTGTAAACAAATTTTAAGGCCTTATTGGATATGTTACAAATTAGTGAGGTGCCAAGTGAACTTCTCTTTCCTTCCAAAACCTAAGCTTGCACTCCATCTACAAGAGAAATGCCATTCTGCTAAAAAGCTCTATATATTTGATCCATTTCCTAGCTCATAACCCCACAAACTTTTATTACAATGTAAACATTACTCTAGTAGGATTAATAGAATACAGACTCCAGGCTTTAAGGGAAGTATATCCAAGTCTATTAGCCTGAAAAGTGCCAGAATTACAAGTTTCATAGGCAAGGACAAGTTTTTCTAAGAATAAATAAGCAAAGTCAGAAACCAGAAAGATAAAAATTGCAAGCCAGAAATAAAGACCAAGAAGCAAAAACACCAGTCACAGCTCCTCAGATGAAAAGAGTAGGGGGCCCTGAAAAGGGCCTTTTGTGGAAAAAAGAGCGCAGATACTCAGCCACCAAAGCCGTAGAGAGTACGGCCCTGGCGCTTGAGCGCGTAGACCACGTCCATAGCCGTGACCGTCTTGCGCTTGGCGTGCTCCGTGTAGGTCACCGCGTCCCGGATCACGTTCTCCAGGAACACCTTCAGCACCCCGCGGGTCTCCTCGTAGATGAGGCCAGAGATGCGCTTGACACCACCTCGTCGGGCCAAACGCCGAATGGCAGGTTTGGTGATACCCTGGATGTTGTCCCGAAGCACCTTCCGATGGCGCTTAGCTCCTCCCTTACCAAGGCCCTTCCCCCCTTTTCCACGTCCAGACATGGCGAAAGAACAAGAGCTAGCTTACGGTTTGTCTGTAACCTACCCTGATGCAGGCCTTTATACATCCGTTGGCGGACCGAATTGAGAACGTGAAGAAAGTCGGCGGGAAGTCTTGTTGGGGGGAGGGGAATCTGACGAAGGGGGAAAAAAAAAAAGAGGCCTTCTCGGTTCGTTTGTACTGAGTTTTGTACCATAGTAACTATTTTGTTATCTACTATGTTTTAACGCTTTAACAATTGCTTTTGAATGCGAACGCAAAACATTAATGTTGTGGAAAATACAGAACAGGGCGAGCAATAAAATAACTAGTTCTCCTACCACACAGAAATCACCAGTGCTAGCTAATTTGCTGTTTTGGTGAACAGATAAAAGCACATATCCTTTTAAAGAAATTGTATGCATTTTGGGACCTCTTTGCCCTGATTACATTTTAATCAATTTCCCTTATTAAACAGAAAGATATTTTAATGTCTGCTTGTTATTCTTACGAATTTTCTTAATACAATTTTAATCAACTCCCTAGCAGCCATTTTTTGGTTTTATAAATAGATTATTTTTCTATTTAATGTAAATATAGTTCTTAACTATCCTTGGTTGTATGATACTATACTGACATTTCTAATGAAGAGCAGAATATGCCACCCCCAAATATCCCTCTTTAGCAAAAGGACTATTTTGAGGTGATTATTTTTGAGAAAAAGCAAACAAGGAGAATCTTTAAAAATGGTAGCATTTACCCCTTTTTATGGAACGCTTACACTTATATGAGAAATCTCCAGTTGTAAGCATATCTCCATGTGCCAGGAAGAGAAAGATAACTTACAAGAAACTTATCAATGGAGAAGATGCAGGAGTTAAATCTGCCTTACTTTGTTTACTGTGCTTTTCCAGGTCAAGTCCTACAACAGATGACCTCCCCACCACAACATCTATTGTCTTTAGCTGAAGATGGTGTTTAAAGTGGTGGTTCAGGCCATTTCTGGGAGTTTTACTCAGTTCTCAGGGTATCCCAGATACACATAAGAGGTACACAGTATTAAACTTCTATTTTTCTTTTGTTAAATTTTTTTTTAATTATGGAGGGGTCTCAGCCACAGAACAAATGAAATTAATATTTTCATATAAACAATTAAAATAGTAAGAATAGATAAAATTCTGGAAGAGGAGTTTACAAAACCACAAAAAACAATCTTAGGGGAAAGGCATTTTTTGGAAGCCTCAGTAATATGTGTTGCTGTGGGCTCCCAAATTCTTTGTCCTTAGTGTTTGCCCCTTGTCCAGAATCCCTGCCTTCTTCCAAATTCACTCAAGCTGTTTCACTATTCCACCACTGATGTTCATTAACATCAGTAATATTTATTTAAATGTGAGACTACTGATAGACTCGAAGAGGAAGTTGGAGGTACACCAAATTATTAAGATCATTCAGATCAACCCTTTCCCAGATAAATTAATAGCATGAAGTGAAAAGTCAGTGTAAATCTTTCCAACTGGTCTTTGCAACTTGGACCCTTTCTGATCGTCAGGCTTTCTTCTCCAGTTTAACTACTTTGAAGTTATTCATTTAACAATCCCTACATTTTCCCCCACATGATCTCATCCTTGTTTAACTTTCAACTTCTTTTCTGCTTTTATTTCTATCGCTTACTTTATTAAAGAATTTTTATTATAAAATGAAAACAATTTAGTGATGATATTTTATGGGCTTGTCATTGAACTAGGGTCTAGGGAGGTGCAAATAAGAATAAAACTCAGTCTGCATTCTAAGGAACCTTGAAAACTAAAGCTAAGATACTGAAGGGATTCAGAATGAGCTCCCCAAAATGTGCCACTTTTGCATGTGAATTATTTTGAGCTAAAGACAAGTGACATTCTAAGGTCTCAAGAGAAACTTATGCCCCTCCCTTAACTACCCAGAAGAATTTAAAATGGGAATCTTTCCCAGAATGAGAATTATTATCAGAGAAAAATTTTATCTGATTGACCCACCTGTATGGCAGGGCAAACTAATTGCCCAACATCTACTTTTCTTCCTATTGTCCTGTGAATTATCCTCTTGTCCTTGGAAGTCCTAGGCCCCTATCACATTTCTTATCTCAGGATGGCATATAAACCTCATTTTACCTTTCTGTCTCTGAACTTCTCATGTATGTGGGGTTCCTGTATATAGGAAATTAATTTTGAGTTCCTCCTGTTTATGTCTTGTTGATTTGATTTTTAGACCAGGCAAAAGGACCTTAGAAGGGTAGAAGAAAATCCTTTTTCCCTAACAAAACAGCAAATCTTATATGGGAAGATACTGTTTGGTGCTTTCATAATAATCCAAGGTATGCAGAGGAAAATTAATGGGAAGGCCAATTCCAGAAATAAAATTTAAACAATACTTTCATAAATCTTCTGCCACTAAAATTGAATTTTGCCTCATATGAAAACTAATTTACAGTATGAATTTTGGAGTTCTAAAGAGCTCTTCAGGATCTAATTGAACTTATAAATATCTAAATTACTGTGGCAAGGTTTTTGGAAAGTTTTGTTATCTCCATTTATAAATTCAAGTTTTTTTTCTGAATATGTAGATAGTAAAGAATAATAGTAAGTGCTTTACACAATGAAATTTTATGAATAGCCAATTAATTTAAAAACTTCAATATGTGGAATTATAAACAATGACAAACCACACTTAAATATTTTAAACAAAAATTTATATTCATTTATCAACGATTTCATTATAGATTCATTGACTTCATCAAAACCACACTAATAATTATAAAGGTATGATTTTAACAGTGTGATGATTCTTGTGGGGAATAGAAATAATGCAAAGAAGCAAGTGTTAGTAATCACATCATCAACATCATTAACAATAACAACAGCATATTTTATTTCAAAACATTGGAAGAACTCATAGGCCTTCCTTGGAGCTGTATCATTTACTCTGCTTCAGAGTTCTAGTTCTGAGATATAGTTGGTTACAATTTACAAATTCAAATAATGCAGATGAGTTTTTAAGACTAATAAAATGAATAATTAGCTTCATTGAAGTGAGGATTTGGGTCTTCCAACATCAAATAATCTCAAGTTAAAAAGAAAAGGGGGGGGAGGTGACATTTGCCTCATGTTTATGATTGCTGTGGTCACTTTTTCCAAATTGAAGTATAGTCATTTACAATGTCTCCATATCTGGTGTACAGCACAATGTTCCAGTCATTTTTTTCATTAAAGGTTACTACGAGATATTGAATATAGTTCCCTGTGCTATACAGAAGAAATTTTCTGGGTTTTTTTAAAATCTATTTTTTAATATAGTGGCTAACATTTACAAATCTCAAAACTCCCAAATTTATCCCTTCCCACCCCATTTCCCCCCGTAAACAAGATTGTTTACTATGACTGTGAGTCTTTCTGTTATGTTAGATCAGTTCATTAGTGTCCTCTTTTTCCTTTTTGTAAGATTCCACATACAAGTGTTATCATACGGTATTTTTCCTTTTCTATTATGGTCACTTATATTCCAAGGAACATTATTTATACATGTGATTGCAGTTGAGATTTAAATATAGGAAAAACAAGTATTTCAGGAGACTCAAAAAACTTATTTCAATGGACTAGGAGTGCCATACAAATTCATTTTCATTATAACATATTCATAAGGAAAACTAGACATTAGCTGATGTGGCTGGGAATTGAAGGCCCTCTCTAGCTAGGGTGACTTGATTTGAGAGAAGGATGTTCAGTCATGGTGGTGGGGAAGTAGGGAGCTAAAATCATTGACAATGGAACCTGATATTGTACAGGTGTGATTAAGTGTT